GTGAACACGTTCGCCTGCTCAGACGTGGGTTGGTGGAGTAGTGGTAACACACTCAACTCAGATGTTCGGGGTTCAATCTCGGCACGGTCATTTGATATACACTGCTGTTGAGCTCTAATAAGAGAGAAACTCGAGTCCAGTGCCACCCTTTGATGTGGACTAACCAGAATAATTGCGTCAGAACAGGAGGACGACCGTTTGATTGAGTGGTGACTACTGAAAAAGTTCGCTGAATACTCGCCAGGTTGATAAACCTCAGAGAGCGTACCTACCTACCCTTGTATCTAGTTTGGATTTCGCACCCAACTAACAGTCAATCTGTTTCATTATCTTCAACCGATCCATAGACCATACCTGTGGAACTTGACGTTTATCGGCCATGCCTTGCTCTAGAAAACGATGGGCAACTCTACTTTCAACCGACACAAGTGAAGGCCAAATCCTTGCGTCGTTTTGGGGTCATCAACAGATCGTCGGTTGCAACTTCGTAAGTTATTATCTAACACTTATTAAAGAGAATTTTTCGGTGTAATAGGTCAAACATTGGGCAAGAATATCGAGATGTAAGCTGTGGTATAGCTGTAGCACACTAATAGTAGTGGTAAGAGTGGCAGTATAGTCGTTCATCAAACCTGACCTAATCGCTGTTCGAGATCGCCGTGCAACTGTGATAGACGTCAGCATATTGCTAATTATGAGGAAACTTTGCATAAATGCGACAAAACCTTTCCTGAAATCTAGGAATACTTTTCGTGAGACATTCACAAACTGCCAAATTTAGGAGTCACTTTCCCAAACTATCATCGTGATGATATACCAGACAACTGTTTGTCTGGGAACAGGCATTCATCACAAAAGCAATATTTTTTTGGACTTTTTTTCTGCGGTTTGCACAAATCTAACATCAAAAACGCTTTCAACATAGAGATTCAACCTTGTTTTGGCAATAACTATGCCTGCTTGTTATTCTACGAGCTTAACTTCAAATATATCGGTAAGATTACTTCCACGCAAGCAATTAGCGGTCTGTAGATACCAGATCATGGCGACTGGTCAAACTGGAGTCTGAGGCAGTATTATCTTGAAGACAATTGTGAACAGCTCAACCGTTTAATGCTCAAATGAGTACTCGGTAACACAAGCTGCTCTTACACTTTGGTGTCCAAGTAAGGTTCATCAAGATTCTGTCGTAATGCCAATCGATTCATCTCAACCGCGGTGGTTTGTTCCCACAAAGTTCGGAATTCGATGTTAAATAGTTCCAATTCTGGAGACCCAAATCTACATCCTAACCATGAAAATTTGGGTTAAAAAGGCAACCACTTAACAATATGTTTATTATTATTTATAGCTCAAAATATTCTTCCAATCTACTCCAGATTTAAATGGCACATTCCCAGTGAACACCGGAAGCAGTTGCTCGTGGAACCTGTCGAAGGAACCATCCAACCAAACGAGATTCAAGTAACTAGAGTATTGCCACAATGTTTTTAAAATCATTTCCCGTGTATACGGGTACATACTTTCATTTGAAACGGTGATGGCTATCTGAGTCGTGATTGGTGGATATCTTAGAAATGCTGCTTGTTGCACGGGGTTATCATCCATAGTTATCGTTTTATGCCAGATTTAGAGTGACTAAAACGAAAACCAGAGTCAAATAGGATGTGTTATTTGGCGTATGGAAGACTGAAGAAGGGTTGTATGAGATGAGTGGTGCGATTCACGTGGCGAGAAGGGCTTCACATAGCCTAAATGAAGATGCCACAAATCGAGGATGATAGCTCTTCTTCTTTCGTCAGAACGTAGATAAGTCAACTTGGTGTGCGTCAGAACTTCATGCATACAATTAGTATACACGATGAACTAAACTACTCCGACCATTTGCATACAGGAAACTACTCACAAGGTTGCTGAAAACTCTTCGACAGCCCACGATCGGTTTCAACCTTCTTGGGGCTTATCAGGCAGAATACGATAAATGAGAGATTCAGCCGAGTCTCTCGTGAAAACCAAATTGGTTTGCAAATAAGTGTATTTCTCGAAAACAGTGCAACTTGGGTCCAAGTGGAACATAAGGTTGACGGAAACTTGGGGACTGCGCCTACCTGATGAGTCCCAAGAAGGGCGAAACCGGTCGTGGGCTGTCGAAGAGTTTTCAGCAATCTTGCGAGTAATTTCCTTTATGAAAATATACTGCGATATCTCAAATATCGTAGCGACTGAAACATGAGGCGGCCTGGTGCAGCACATTCAGTTGTGTGGGGATATCACAAACGAGAGATTTAGCTGGGTTCCAGGTGAGTCTCTCACAAAACCAAATTCGTTTGCAAATGAGCGTCTATCGCTACTATTCTCCCATTTTAAAACCACTCGTGTGATCTTCAAAAGGCGTTATTTTACGAGACTTCTTCATCCAAACTGCCTTCCTGAAGATCTTGCAGCAAAAGGGGACACTCTTGATGCAGTCTTGCTGAGTACAGCTATACCATGCACCTTCGCCGCGGCGAAACAACTCTGTAATACTTATATTTACTTCTATGCTACTAGTCACTTGTTTAATATTTTTCGCATCGAAAATCTAGCATCGACAATTTGTTCAGGTAATCAGATTTCCTCAAATATTCGTCGAGATTTGGTTTTCGGAAGCGATCGTTCGGTCGGAACATATTTATATGGTTTTACTTGGAGCAGAACGTCAGTCTTATTCTTCCAACGCATTTATTTCAGTACCACAAGTGGATATTTAGCCCATCCGAACCAGGACTATGTAAGTTTCGACCACAACTGATATATCAGGCTACCGGAAAGGAGGCAAAGCGCAAGCAGCTGAAAGTGATTGCTATGGCGGAACAGGTCACCCTGAAAATCCAGCCTGATCGTATGGTCCTGGAACCTCTGACCATCGGAGCTTCGAAATCTGCTGAGGCAATCTTACACAATTGCACTCTGGTAAGTAGTGTGTTTCTCACCTGCACGTATTCCCTCAAATGTCAGTGGTTTTGCTCTGTATGTGAAGTTCCATAGCGGTTTAGACTATATGGACGCTCATTTTTTCCAACCTATTATGAAGTATTCTGAAGTAATTCATGTAGTAGTGTAAATAGGAAAGCTCTACGCCGCGACGCTGCTGAAAAGCGAACACCAATTAAGCAGTTACAAACTATTGGACAGGAAAGTTAACGTCTCAAATGCACCTCCTTTATAGAAACTGACCATCCTCACGCGTCTTCTTGAACTTTGGTGAATATTATTCGACTGTCATGCAACTGCAAAGCAGTTCCACAAGTTCTGCTATAAACTTCACCTTCCATTAGACGCGAGGCGAAGCTTCGACACGATTACAGACTACTCGCATGCCTCGTCAGTAGTATCCACCGTTACAGGAGGAGTAGTGTACGGCATAATGTATAATTGTGGTACTCCAATCTTTCCGCCATTTACCGAACAACATACTTCGGAAATTCGGACTTTCAGCAGGTTTTTTCATGAGCTGTTGTCGGCGAACTTCAAACTCTCCTCATTTGACCACTCCTCTGTTCATGCCTTTCCTGATGGAGACTGACAGATCGGTGATCTTCTGCTTGTCGAACTTCAATGAGAAACTGGCACCTCTTTCCACGGCAACCGATCAAGGTCGTTCAACCCTATTGTATGTACTTTGCACCACAAAGTGCAAATTTTTGCTGCGATTGCTACAGTTTTTGAACATAACCCTAGGGTGCCATTTCTGAATAACGCCTATTCAGATTAGTAGTGTTCTCCGTGCCTAATTTGGAGTAGTGGGAACATAAAAGTCGGCAAGAGAGAAGAAACTGTAGAACTTTACGAAGAGTTTGGGTACCTTTGGTGCTGTTCACCTTCCATGATGGGGTTCATACGCCCTCCTTTGTGCTTGGCTAGAGACACTTAGCGGTACGGCAGCCAACCGGTATCAGTGACATTTATATGTCACTTTCCATCCAAGTTATCTGGCTGAGTGTAGGAACCTCGGATGTTTACGGTAATCCAGTTCAACCCCATCCTCCCCATACTATTTTTATTTTTCCTCCTACACGTTTTTATTCAAATAACCTGAAGTGACTGAACGGCACAGAAGCATCAATGTTCTCATTTGGCGTTTCTACCAATGGTGTTGATGACTTGAAACTTTTGGTCCTCGGGGCAGTAAGAAAATGTTTCGTGTGGGGGCCCTGCTTCTAACCTCTGACTCAAAAATGTGACCACCGATACATCGGGCAGAAGTGTTTTTATTGGTGGACCCTACCCTGATTTGACCAGTGCATCTCGCGGCAGAGTCTTAGTGACCTCGCCGCTGATGTTGCCAAGTAAACTGGATGCATTTAGAGCCTCATCGAAAACATGGCAATACCTATTTGTGTTTATTTCGGTCGTTCCGGACGACTTGTCTTTGGTCACTGTCAACCTATAGGTGATCAGAGTGTACGGTTTTAGAGCCAGCTTTCTCTAACCCTCGGCGGAAGGCAGCATTGCTGCTTTCATAAATATGGATATGCCAATCACCTGAGGTGAAGACCTCACTACCTTCACATTTGCATTCCAGAGGACAGTACGACTTTACTTCAGACCACCGCGAAATTAGAATACAAGTAATACGGGGTCTAGCTACATTGATTAATCCCTGTCTATATTCTTTCCTATCATGGTTGTTTCCTATGGAAAGAGGTTTCATCCACTCTAACCGCTTCATTTCTTATTCAGTTCCAACAAATAGATTTTTCGAATGAGCTTCGGTGTACAACCAACAGGTTCCCAGTGTATGTATGCTCGTCGGCTGATCGATACTATGCTGGTTATTTCCTTTTTCCTTGTGGTTTGACCAGTTTTAGTGGAATTCATTTCACAAGTTGAAGCAAGGGCTTGAATCCAAGGTGTCTCCCATTGTAGATGAGCACAGGGGAGTAGAGTGGAATAGTTAGTGCTTGAAAGCTTCATATGAAAAATGATAGTTCATGCCGGAAAAGAAAGCTGAACACGTTCAAAATATAGTGGTTCACGTTATACCACTCGACGCCGACACCATGACTCATTCGATTAGAAAAGTCAACCAACAAACCTACAAATATCAGCAACTCTGATATGGCTACATGAGGCAAAAGTCGAGTTCCCCCAGAAAAAATTATTATCTGACTGTAACAAGAAAAAGAGTGTGGAATTCGGTTGTGCGCAATATATTGAACAGTTTGTAAACTTATTGGTAAAAACCCTTTGAGTTAAAATGAATTTTGCGTTTTGAACTCATGTCAGTTTGAATGTACTAACCTTACTGTTGGGGAAAGTTATTACTGTATTAACCCTAACGTGGTGGCCGGGTTTCATGCGGATGCTATCTCAGCGTACTGTGCTCACTCATTTCCACTGAATATGTTGAAATACTTGCGTTTGAGTGACGGTGTAGTGCACACAGTGCCTTAAACAGTGACTTGGCGTTCACCTCGGTGCTTGGGATCGATAACCAGCCTCCCATTCAGGCAGAACCACATTCTTCGCGGCTGAGAGACACTGTTGACCCTAATTCAATGTTCCCTGAAATTCCAATCGGATAGTTGATTACTTCAGCTAATTAGCGACACCTACAATTGCTTACGTATACCTATAGGTGTATGTGTATATGCGCTATATTCTCTTCCCTATTTCAAATCCAGGCCTCAACGTACTTCACACTTTACGCCAAAACAATTTTCAACGATGTGGACGTGGAAGAAAAGGGAGAAATATCCATCGCCCCACAGACAGGATGGCTACCGGGGCTATGTTCAACACCGATCCAGTTCGTCGTGGGACCAAAACGGAAAGGTTCCTACCGGATTCAGTTGTCCTATGAATTGTGGATTCCAGAAAAGGACACTCCGTTACAAGAAACCTGTACTGATAGTAAGTCCGAGCGTCATACTTCATAAAATCGTACTAAGTGAAAGTTTGCTTTAGATCAGGAAACCTCTTGTTACACCTATACACTCATCTGCATACCGGTTTGACGGGAGACTCACCTGGAACCCAGCCGAACCTCCGGTTTGTGATGCTCTGAAGCAACCGGATGTGCTTCACCAGGCCGCCTCGTGTTTCGGTTGGTGCGATATTCGAAATCTCGCCATACATCGTATGGAATGAATTATGACGCATAAACCTGGGTTCCAGGTGGGTCTCCCGTCAAAACTAAATAGGTATACATATGAGTGTACTTCGCCAATCTCATGCGTTTTTTCTTCACGTGAAACATAAGGCTGATGTCTACATTTTAGCTGAATCTTTAGCTTATGGTATTCCCCACAGGAATATTCTGTACAAAGGCCTCCTTGCTTTTCAGTTAAAACAGTAGTCAGGATGTCGAAGTATATACATCTATTCTTATTCTCTAATTTTGCTTTGACCCGTGTGCGAAGTTAGGCATCCACCAGAAACCCCCTGGTTCGTTGTGATGTTATGTGGACGGGAAAGACTTGGAACTCAGTCTGGGATCTTGTCCTGCAAGCAGAGCTGAACTTGTCAGGACAGCTGTTTCGTCCCTCTTGAGAATCGTCGGCAGTTGGTATTTCGCAAATTTTAGTTAGAATGCTATCGTATTCAGCCGTGAGAAGCTGACTAGCTGTGAACTCTATTTGCGACTGAGCACGACGTAGCGCCAAAGATCACTAGTCATCCAGTTTACGCAGCGTTAGCCATTGTTGTTTAGGTCCTCTGGCAACGAGATGACAAGATGGATCAGAGTTTGGGGCGCGAATTTGCTGACCGGAAGGTTGGTGGTTCGAACCTGACCTCTGTCTTTCGACTTTCGCTGTCTAGGTTTGGGCAACCTGGCAATATACCAGCTCTCGTGCTTCCTTTGGATGGCATGTCAGCGATGCACCGAAAGGATGTTACAGCTGAACGATTTGCTTTCCTCTAGCATCGACTTTTCAGACGAAGGGCCCGCGAAACTTGAAGGGATTTTTCAATCTAAGGAACTCATCCGTAGCTCGGCAGTAACCTGAAGACTTTGAGGTTTCAACAGGATTTTCATCCTTCAGGCAGTCAGTCATCCAGCGGCAAAAACAGCCCGGAGCATTTGCACGATACTCTCAAACTGATTAGGCGAAGGGTGAAGAAAAATCAATATGAGGACAAAAATTACTTAGAGTGGTTTTTAGGTACAATTTTCTTGTGACATTTAAAACAAATAAGGAACACTCAAATCTAATTGGTGCTCAGCAGAAGGACAAA